TTCCCAGGAAAGTCAAAAAGTGCCTTCGTGACCACCCATTTTGTATTGCACTTTTTTCACTGCTTTTATTTATTTTGTTTTTTAAGAAGGCCATCAACAGACCAAAGGATCATGTGTTTGGGAGAGGGAAAAAAGGTCGCCGTTTTTCATATTTTTTCGAGAGTTGTTTGTTACATGTTTCATCATTTTGTCTTGGACGATCTTGGATGATTATTGACTAGTTGACATGTTTTGGCTTGCTTGCTCAAAAAATGATGCTGATGAACGCTGCAGACCGATGTATCGTTTGTCTTTTGTTTAAAAGTCGTTTGTCGTTTTAAATAGTTATAGCCTATAACGCATTAGTATACTATAGAATGGGAGTGTCCATCCCCCTTTGATTCCCCAGAAATGACACTATAGATCATATGTAAAAACATCGAAATTCCTAAAATGGGGTAGGGACCCCATTTTATAGTAGATCACTTTGTGCCAGTCCATGGGTTTTTATGCCTTGAATGTTAATGCATGTTGTAGTGACTTTTTCTGTACAACCATGTATTTTGTTGTGAACTTCTGGAGGGCCGTCGTTTTATTGATATAAAATGGCCTGCACACCCCCACCCCTGGAATGAGAAGAGGGATGCGTGAGTGACATAAGTCACATTTGCATGGTAGCGTGCACTGGCGCGCCCTCGGCCCGTTCACGTGGTCGGGCGGCGCTCGATTCGAGGGTAGATCTCCTGGGACGACGGGAGACGAGCAGCCTTGGTTGGTGGCCGCTGGCTCGGTTTGCCGGCGCGGCCGTGTTGACGTTGTTGTTGATTGGCGGCAGCTATGCAGGCACTTCAACAACAGGTGATGGCTCAGCAAGCAGACAACCAAGTGCTGCGAGAGAGGTTGCCGACCTTTGAAGCCCAAGCAGCCTTGTCACCAAGGAAGCATCTGATACTCAGAGTTCAAAAGACTGAACTCTGGAGTTAATTCCTTTCCAAAAACGAGTCCAGCCCAGGTCTGAACTCTCGAGGAACCCCTGTGGTTTAGCACTCTCATGTACAACCAAGACAGAACTTTGTAGATCAGTCTTCAACCCCTGCAAGAGACTGAACTCCGGAGTTTTTCCTCAAGCAGAACAAGGTTTATATCCTCAACCAGTCTCTGTTTTCACAGTGTTTTCACAGAGACTAAAGGAGGAACACTTGCTTGGCGTCGCGAAGTGATCGCGAGCGTCGCCTCGTAGTGGTTGAATCCGAGAAAACATATCCATACTGGAGGGCCCCAAGCCTCAGCATTATTTTGAGAAGGTGGTTCGACCACGAACAAGGCTTCATCGTGACATGCAGCCCAGCCGGCCCCACCGATCCAATCAGCAAAGACCCACAATTTGTCTTGAAGGTAAAATCCAACAGAAAACTGCTCAAAGTACAGTTGCTCAAGAAAGCATCAATGGACGAGCACTCAAAAGGCAACTTCACCTGCTCCTTTGTCAAGGTGACATAGTCCCTGTGCACGACGATTCCTTCTGGAGCTCTGCAAATTTGCGCAAAGCACCGAGGCAATCGACTGAGTATTGCAAAGACTTTCGAGACTTCATTCGACGGCCGCTGGTTCTTCAACTGATAGGTGGCAGCTCCTCGTGAAAACTGATTTCGTGACCTGGACAGCTCCTCGTCACTCTCGTCTGAAAAGCAAGACACCAGAGGCACACCCGACAAGCAGCCCTAGCCGCCATGCGATGCCAATGGTAAGTAAAGCTAAGCACCGACAACTTTGATAGCCAAAACTGGAAGAGCAAAACAACAAACGTGTGAGATAATGCCCAGCAAATCTTCACGGGAAAAAGGCTGAACTCTAGAGTTTATATGTAGTAGATGCGGCAAGGGAAACAGAATAAACGCTCAAGAACAAACTGAGTAACGAGTAAAACAATCGCATCCCTGGAAATTCTTCAGAGTTAATACAACAAATGAAGACAAGGGCCTCAACCATCTCCAGACTATAGAGGTTAGCCAAACAACAGAGAAAGGACTGAACTCTGGAGTTAACCTGAAAATGGACAGGTATATTAAAAGACTGAACTGTAAAGGTTCAACCTTGAACTCTGAGACTCAGTCCTTTCTTGTCACCAACAGGCGGCGTGGCTCCCGAAGTGAGGGCCTGAGGCCCTTACGAAGATGTCCAAGCCGAAAGGACTCATAGACCCAAGAGGACTTGGCAAACCTCAAGTCCTAGGAGACGATGCTGAGTCCAAGTTCAGGCTATGGGCAATCAAACTCGAAGACCACGTCTCCGGAGTCCCCGGTGCGAAGAGCAGAGAGGTTCTTGAATGGGCAGCTGGGATGGACGCCGAGATCACGATCACAGAGATTGATGCAAACTATGGCCATTCAGCGGACATCCTAGATCAGTGGGATGATGTGGAGGACTTCAACAGCCAGCTCTACACCGTCCTGAGGGCAACGACTGAGGGCATTCCGTTTGACTTGGTGGAGAATTGTCCGACAGGATCGGGGTTGGAGGCATGGCGGAGCCTCCACAGGAGGTTTGATCCCGCAACGGGTTCACGAAAGCGAGTCATGCTCCAGGCCTTGACGAATCCGGAACGTGCCACCCACGACAATTTGCAAGGTGCTCTTAAAAGGTGGAAGGCATGGAGGAGCAGATATGACCGCAAGAAGGACCAGTTCGGTGCACGGGAAGCATTGCCAGAGTCATTGGCTATGAATGCACTTGAGAAACTGGTGCCTAAGGACCTTGAGACCCACTTGATGCTCAACTACATCTGCTTCAAGACCTTTGAAGAGATGGAGCGGGAGGTGGTGAACTACATGGAGGCCAAGACGGGATCCCGAATGGTGGTGACGTTTTCGTTGTCCAGAGCCCCACGTGCAAGTTCGGCATGAAGATGTTGAGTGATGCTGACGAACTGCTCTGTGTGAGAAAGGAGACACTATGGATGACAAATTCAGAGCAGATTGCATCCGAGCTGCAAGGGGTGTGCCAGAACAAGCTGAAGGCAAGGAAGTCCATCGACATGTACATCTCGTCGGCCGTGGCCGAGCAAAAGCTGCGCAAGTGTACCCGGTGCCTTTGGTAGAGGCCATTTTGAGGGGAGTCAAGAAGGAGTAGGTTCACAGTCGGGCACTCAATGCTGGACCCGAAGCTCGTGAAGGCAGCAAGGCAGCTAGAGCTCCAGTGGCTTCAGAAGGAACAGGTCTACATCCGTGTACCTCGAAGTCAAGCAACAGGCCAACTACTCCAGTGGAAGTGATTTGACGTCAACAAAGGGGATAGTGAAAACCCTTAATCCGGAGCCGCATGGTTGCGAAGGAGATCAAACGGGCCAAACCATTGGAGATGCAGCTTGGTGGTGCAGACACCTTCTCAGCCACACCGCCCATCGAAGCGGTGTGCTCGTTGCTGAGTATGTTCATGTCGAAGGACCCAGACAAAGGTGAGCTGAAGCTGGCGAACTGGGACATTTCCCATGCTCATTTCATGGGGAAAGCGTCCCGTGACCTGTTCATGGAACTGCCCGAGGAGGACAAGATCCAAGATAGTGATGTCGAACCAATGGTGGCGAAGCTGATGCGTAGCATGTATGGCACTCAGGATGCAAGTCGCATCTTTCAGGAAGATTATCAACAATGGCTCCAAAAGGGAGACAAGAAGAGCATGACGTTCCTGAACCGCCTGATCAAGTATGTCCCAGATGGAGCGGACCATGAGGGAAGGCGCTTGGAGATTGAGGCTGATGCTCGACACACTGAGATCCTTCTCCGGGAGTTCGGCTTCAACAAGTCCAGGGGTGTGAGGTGCCAGAGGACAAGATGACTCAGGCAGGTCTCATCGAGGCAGATCGCCAACAATCCTGGACGACAAGCAGACAAGCGTCAACAGGTCCATGGTCATGCGAATGGCCTACATGAGTGTGGATCGCCCTGATTTGATCCACGTGGTGAGATCGTTAGCCTCGGCAATGAAAGCGCCCAAGATGGCTGACTGGCAACGGCTCAAGAAGGCCGTGAGGTATTTGGTGAAGGAACCATACCTGAAGAGGATCTTCCGAGAACAGCCCATTGAGGACTTCAACGTGGTGGCATTGTCCGATTCAGACTGGGCTGGAGATCTTCGGACACGGAGGTCGACTACAGGGTCAGTGCTCAAGCTGGGGTCGCATACGATCCTAGTGAAAGGAGCGACTCAAAAGGTCGTTGCACTGTCATCCTGCGAAAGCGATATTATGGGATGTGCAGAACGGCTACTCAAGCCGAGTTCGTTCGTGGCATTCTCTGCTTTTGGGGCTTCGAGGCCAAGAAGGTGAAGCTCCTGGTCGACAGCAGCTCGGCGAAAGCCATGAGCGAGAGCTCGAGATTGGCAAGGTCAGCGGCAAAGTGAATGATGCCGACTTGACCACAAAAGTGCAGCCAAAGAGTGTCATAAGGTCGCACCTTGAGCGACTGGGATTTGCAAGCAGTGGACGAGCTGGACACAAGGGATTGAGCTGAAGTCCCGGATCCAGGCTCCACTACCCTTTTGTGAACCCTGCTGTGGTCGTAAGGACCGTCGCAGTGCGGGGTGCAAAACTTGCACACCTTTCAGGTTCACACATACCGAAGCCACCTGAGGCATCCAAAAGGGGCGTGAGTGACATAAGTCACATTTGCAGTCAGAGCACTACTTGTTTGTTCCAATGCACATTCCAGGCCACGTTTTCAGCATAGCAGGGTGGGGATGACTTGCTGAAGTAATATGATTAACGGCTCTCATACTTGTACTCTCATCGCATTCGTGCAATATAGTTAGAACATGTTGGTCTATGCGTTTGCTTTCATCTGCGTCCTTGCATTTACGTGCGTTTTGAATTTTAATTTTGATTGGTGTGTCCTTTTATATTTTGGTGGCATGTTGCCGGGATAAGTCCTTATTGTAGGTTGCCCAGGTGGCGAATCTCATTGCCACAAAGCCTGACTATTTGGACCAGATCTATTCTTTTGGCCAATTCCCTCCTACATGCTGAGGTACGCTCAGTCTTTCCTGAAATTGTACGAGAAACTTGGAGGGTAGTTTGGAACCTGATGCCTTTCAGTTGGCTGCATGCAGATAGGAGGTGTGTTAAGCCACAACCTGCGATCAGTTTCAAGGAAAAGATCCTACGTTCTCCAAAGTACCTGGGAGCCTTTTGGTTGCAATAATGTCAGGTGGGAGGTTGGATGTGCGTTTCTACTGGCATTGATGGATTGATGCTTGGCATTTTTCTGTGCATTTCATGGATTGAGAGCTCAGGCTGCCGCCGGTGGATTGGCCTGACTATGCTGCCACCAGCTTGCACCGACAGTTGTGTTTGCCATGTCAGTGACTTGAGAACTGGGGTCGCCAAGGTTGCTGCCACTCAACTGGCAGACACTTGGCCTGATGTTGAAACATGTTGGAACTTTATCATTCAATCTCAGGTAGTCAGAGCGTTGAGTGATTTTAATTGGAGCATTGTAACGCCTATCACCTTCCCCCAACGAAATGATTCGCCTTGCAGAAAACGCAGGAGCTGCTGATTCCAGGCACAAGTCGTTTGCACTCCTTCAGAGTGATGGACGACTCTCAGCTCAACTGTTTTGATTGGAGGAGCAGTTCGGAGCAGCTTGCAGATCAGGTCCCCGTGGAGTGCGTGGACTACCGGAAGCTGATCCTAGAAGACTTTTCATTGGAGGCAGTGACCCATAGTGACCCTGAATGTAGCCACGGCAGCGGCAATTTGACATGCGGTGTTGCAAGTCATCATGGTGGACAGGGCCAGATCGATGAGGTGGAGCTGACGGGAGGGTCACAGCTGGGACCGAGTACGTATGGGTTATTCGATATCCATTGTTCACCGCGTCGGGCGTCTCTGTCATGTCCAGGTTGTGGATCAAACCAAAGAGTTGCAAGAGGACACTGGCATCTACGATGCCTTGGGCTGCCAGGCGCCAGCCCAGCAACGACACTCCAAAGTTTCTTTGGAATGGACATCCAGCAATGTTGACATGGCCTAGAGTCTATTGCAAGGCATCCTGACACATCCTGACAAGGATGCCACGTTGGCCATTGTCAATGTCGATATCACTGTCCCGTTCATAGAGTCAACAACTCAAGATTGCTGTGCCTGTGACGTGTTCTGACATTTGACAGGAAGAGGCCCAGCGAGCAACCCTCTCCATGCTTTGTTTGGTTTGGTTTGTTCGAGAACCTTGGTTCCAAGTTTGGCTGCTACCTCGGGAGCTCTTGGGAAAGTTTCGGGAGGAAATGGGATAAACACATTGTCCATCAACACGTCTTGACTCCTTGTTTATCGAAGGATAGCTACGAGCACATGATCGCCAACCAGGTCGGAGTCAAGAAGCACCTGTGACAAGACTGACTCCGACCACAGAATGTTGATTCAGGATGACCGTTCACGTCTCTCCAAGTCCACATGGAAAGCTATTCGAGCAGCTTGCCCAGATCATTCGGTGATGTTTTGCCACATCCCCGACCAGATCATGGATTCAGGGAGAACAAAGCGTGCCCAGGACCTCCTCTTCTCTCATGAAATCAGCTTGGACGAGTTGAACGGTCTCATGGTGCTGCTGGCCATTCGTGACATGGCAGAGTTTTCCACAGGTTTCCATTGTTTTGTGACCGGGTTGTTTATGGGGGGGGGGAGGAGGCTTGCCCAGATATCCAAATTCTGTTTGCCCTCAATCCCATTCGTGGGAGTTTGGGTGCAAGAATAAACAATACCACATGGGGATCTCCAAACCAGGCACCTGAAGCATCAGCCTGTAATTGGACAAAGACACTGCACGAAACAATGTGGATGATTAATATCCATGGTTCTGCTGTTCCTTTGCCGGGCTTATATACAAGTAGGCGGTGGTGCTCTAGTGAGAAGCCAAAGGCTGACTTTCAGGCTCAGTCCAGCATATATGCCTACTGGCACAGTGTAAGCTGGAACACGTGAATTCCCAAACTGTGGGGGCCAGACAGCGTCCCCCTTTGCAAGCTTTGAAGAGCAAAGAGTCGTGACCGTATTCACAGATTGTTGCTTGTCTCGCTTGTTGACAACTTCGTTATTGAGTTCCACAAGGAAGTTCCATACCTTTGCTTTCTCAAAATTATACCAGCATAGACCCAAACAGTTTCAAAACGATTACAGAGTTGGGACCAATATCAGTCAAAAGTCAAAAACAATTTCTAGGTTCGCCCTACCTTCCCCCTCCCCCCCAAGAGCAAATTGCTTAATCAATGATGTTTGTCGGCATTGACATCGCCAATCGTTCGGCTACAGGAGAAGACGAGAGAAGAGCAGGACAAGATAAGACAAGAGGAGGACAAGACCCGGTCACAGAGCCCGGCCACAGAGTTCACAGCCCGGGCACCAGTCAGTGTGTCCAGGGCTGGTCAGCGCGGCAAGAGGACAAGAGGAGGACAACAGCAGGACAAGAGAAGGACAAGAGGAGGACAAGACCCGGCCACAGAGCTCAGGAGCGCGGTCAGTCAGTGTGGCCAGCCGTTTTTTCTAAGATAGAACCTTATATAACTTGTTGGAATCTCACGAGATGTCAACAGGTACTCACTCAGGTCATTCGTCTTGACACATTTACGCCGTGAACACGAAGGCTCAATTTGCAGCTGAAAATAGTGTCTGCGCTACTTTGCATGGTAGCGGAGCTCGGGCCGTAGCGAGCCCGGGCTCCCGCTTGGCACCACGACAGCCACTTCGTGGCCACGGACTTCATTGGTTGGAGGAAGAGCGAAAGGGCTCTGGTTGTGCGAGCTTTTGATCCTCGCTTGCCTTGCAGGTGGCATCAGCGCCCCGGCTTTGCAGGAGATCAACTACTATAGCCCAGGACGTGTGATCTCCACAGCCTGGAAGGTGAAGAAGCGCTGTTTCCACTCAGTGATCCTCGAGGGGGACATCTACATCGGCAAGGTCACGTGGGTGAAGTCAGGAAGAGCCACAAAGGCATCCCTGATTGTCAGGGAGAAAGGAAAGAAGAAGAGGAGGAAGAGGCCGATCCGTGAGGTGACTGTTGTGGTCCCCAGCAGGTGGTCCTTTCTAGAGAGGCTCGAAAACAAACAAGAGGAGATCCAGGGTGACCAAGTCTGTGCATTGGTGGCACAGTGGAAGTTTTGGGAGCTGGTGGCCTATAGCGGGCAAAGATTTCCAGAACAAGGTGAAGAAGGAGGAGCAGATTGGAGCACAAAGAGTTACTATCCAAAGCCCCGGAGAATTGAAGCGATGGCTGAAGAAAGCCTGCGGCTCACTTCGACTGCTTTGGAACGACTTCAAGTGACACAGAGCGCCCAGGCATGGTCCCGGCATTTGAAGACGCCGGACGTGTTCAAGCCTGAGTCGCGTGACCTTGAACTCAAAGGTTGGAGCGATTGGAAATTTTCCTTTTGCAACTATGTGAGGGGCATTGATCCAGCCCTTGCAGCGGCTATGGAGGCTGTTGAGAAGGAGCTCAATGCGGACTATGCCCTCGACGACATGTCAGAAGAGATGCAGGGCATGGCAGTCAGGCTGTACAGCTTGCTCACGTCCTACATGAGGCAGAGGCCGCTGAAGTTGGTCCGCCATGTGAAGCAGGAAAACGGGTTTGTAGCATGGCAAACTCTGCTCAAAGAAATGCAGCCAGCAACGAGGGCCTGGAGTCTAGCCCTACTGACTCAGCTGTCCCGTGTGCAGTTTGCAGAGGGTAAAACACTCAGTGAACAATTCCCTCAATATGAGGCTATCGTGGCCGAGTATGAGAGGATTTCAGGACGAGAGTACAGTGAAGATGCCAAAGTGGCTTCCATACTTCAGGCTTGCCCCAACTACATGAAGCAGCACTTGCAACTCTGGGTCGATGATTCGACGACCTATGAGTCCTTGAAGAACAAGATTCACCACCTTGAGGCTTTGACGACAAGGTGGGAAGCATCGAACAGCTTGGCCCTTCCCACAAGAGCCAGTGGAGACGACCCTATGCCGATGGAGGTCGACTACGTGGGCAAGGAGAAGGGCAAGAAAGGAGGAAAGAAAGGAAAAGATATGAAAGGGAAGAGCAAGAGCAAAGATAAAGGAAAGGGCAAGACAGAAGGCAAAGGAAGCTGGAAGGGACAGGAGAAAGGAAAGACTATGTGGGAGAAAGGTCCATGGAGGAAGCCAGAGAAAGGGAAGAATGAGAAAGGTGGAAAAGGCAGCAAGAGTGGCGTGTGTCATGTCTGCGGAAAGCCAGGTCACTATGCTAAGGACTGTTGGAGAAGAGTTCAACAAGTTGAAGAGCATTCAAACCCTGGTGGAGCAGCAAGTTCGTCGACAGGGCACACAGGTGGTGGAACTACACCACAGACTACGTCAGTGAAGATGGTTCGCATTGCAACACCACCTGATGCACCGTTCACTGAGGTCTTTGATCTGACCACGCCATGGACCGCTGCAGATAGTGAGTGGCACCATGTGGCACCCATGGAGAGTGCAGATGGTGCGACTGGCTGATGACTTTGAGGAATCAGAGCAGCTGGTGGAGCAAGAAGAGGAAGAGATGAAGCATGAGGTGTTCTATGATTGCCTGGAACCCTCAGTCTGGGCACCTGAAGAAGTCCCCATCATTGCAATGGATTTGCAACAAGTTGAAACTGAGGACATTGCCTTCCATATGATCCAGATGGTCAGTGTTGGTGATTTGGACGAGGAGGCATGCTTCGTGACGCTTGACAGTGGAGCGGATGTGTCAGTGTTGCCAGCAAATTATGGCAACGTGGGAGAATGGAGACCAGGTGCAAAAGAGTTGAAGATGGTGGATGCTGAGGGGACAAGAATAGCTCACCAAGGCTTGACTCGAGCTAAGGTGAGAGTGAAAGATGTCAGTGGCAAGGAGATTGAGATCATTGAAGAATTTGTTCTTGGGAACGTTCAACATCCCATCATTTGTGCTGGCAGGCTGCTTCGAAAAGGATGGAGCATTCAATCGAAAGAGGACAGCCTGCAGCTTTGCCACTCCAAGCGAGACATCACCATCCCCATTAGCAATGAACGACATTCTCTGCAGTTCGAGGCAAGGATCTATGGGATAGAGCAGAGGAATGGCAAGGAGACTGAAGAGAAGAGGGTGATGGTACTTCGAGGCTATCTCAGCCGCTACGTGGAGGAACTGGAATTCGTTCCGGGTTGGCACAGATTGCCAAACGGAGTGATAGCCCATAGTGATCCAGTGGCTATATACATGGTGGACCCCAGCCAAAGCATTGAGGGTGATTGGAAAGCTCGGATGACCTTGATGAAAGACAAAGATGGTCTCTGGAGGCAGGTGGAGAACACAGAGAACTACAAGGAGCAAGGTGAGAAGGCTTTCAGGAAAGTGAGCACAGACAGGAATCCTGAGAGGATGCTCACGTTTTTCTCGCCCTACAAGCTCCTGGACTATTGGGCCCCAAACTCAGAAGTGCCAGTACACCCGTATCCAGAACCAACAGGCGAGATCAGGCACATCGAATGGTCAGATGAAGAAGAGCAAGAGAGAGAGGAGGAGCTGGAAGAACAAGTTGAAGCTCAGGACATCGAGAAAAGGTATGTCCTGGAAAGAGAAGATGAAGTCGAGCTGGACGAGGTGCTCTACAATGAAAAGGGTACAGTAAAGGAGTTGCAGCTGGCATGCAAGGAGAGGGGATTGCCTTGCACTGGTAGCAAGAAAAGGTTGTTGTCGAGGCTCATTGGTTTCAAGGTCGACATCGAGGACAAGTTCCAAATGAACATTGCAAGCAAGTTGTTCAGGGAGCAGCAACGTACACCAATGACCTTGGGGCAACCGAAGCTACCATCATTGCCTGAGCAAGAACTCCACTTCGTCACTCATTGGCCCTATGCACCATGGTGTCAGGCATGTATGGCGTCAAGAGCAAAGGAGGACAAGCACATGCCACAAGAAGGAAAGCCGGATCTTGGAACTGCCATCATTCAGTTGGACTTCATGTACACGTACACAGGCCCAGAAGGCCGAATGGAGGAGCCAACACAAGGGAGAGTTCAGGAACGGCAGGACCAATTCGGCACTTGTTTGATCATGGCTTCAACAGAAACCAAAGCAATTCATGTGGTGCCAGTACCCAGCAAAGGCACCGCCAGTCTGAAGCAGGTGACCGAAGAGGTGATTCGCTTTTCACTGGAAAATGCCGGAAGAGACAAGTGCATTTTCCAAGCAGACTCTGAGAGAGCAACTCGCCAGATCCTGAGGTCTGTTCAACAAGTGAGGAAGGCGATGGGATTGCAGACCGAACTCCGCCTCACAGGAGCAGGACAACACGCCTCAAATGGATTGGTGGAGAGAGCTGTTCAAACAGTGAGGAGGTTGGCAAACTGCTTGAGGTCATTTGCAGAAGAACGAGCACGACTATCCATCTTGGGGGACAACCACTTGTATCCATGGTCCTTCAAGCATGCATCGTTCTTGATCAACAGATACCGTGTGCTGGAAGGTGTTGGGAGAACGAGCTATGAGCTGGCCACAGGACACGAGTACAGAGGAAAGTTGGTACTCTTTGGTGAAGTGATCATGTACAAGAGGATGATCAAGCACAAGGGATCAAAAGCGTTTGAACAGGGCATTTGGTGTGGAAAACACTCCTTCAATGACTGCCACATCGTGCTGACGCCAGAAGGAGCATGTGAAGCAAGGACAATTCGAAGATTGGCTCCAGAACAAGCCTTTGATGGCCCAGCCATCATCACGTGCAGAGGATTGCCATGGGCCTACTCACCCCAGGGCATTCTCATGAAGCATGGAGGCCAAGCTCAGAAGTATCGACAGCCAACATTGGAGGCATAGATTCAGCCAGAAGAGCTTGACAATATAGCACAAACAGTGGCTGCAGGACTGGTCACACCAGCCCCAGGCCTTCATGCTGGTCAAGGCCAACAAGCAATTGATATGGCTGCACCAACAACACCTGCACTGCCAAATCCATCAACGAAGAGGCAACAAGAGGAGAAAGAAGATGAACAAGTTCTGAAGAGACAAGATACCACCGAGTCGCCAAGGAAGTCGGCAGAGAAGAGAGAAGCCGAAGAGGTAGAAGAAGAAGCAGAGAAGAGGCAGAAAGCAGGAGAGAGCAGTGAAGGAAGGCTTGGAGGTACTGAAGTGCACATGGAAGAAGAGAAAGATGCAGTGAGAGCAACAAGACCAGCCGAACATGAGGCTGAAGGCTCACCCAGTGGAAAGATTGCAAGGCTGTATCCACCACACTACGCAGGCATCCAAAGTGTCGAAGCTCACGGTGATGAGGAGTTGGGATTGGAGCACATCCCAGAAGAGATGAATGAGGAGATGCAATACAGCTATGGAGGTGAAGAGGATGGTGACCCGCCAGAAGTCACTCAAGAAGAGTTGGATGCGTTGGACTGTGACAAAGAAGCAACAAAGGTGGAGATTGAAAGAATGCTAAAGATTCCGGCCATGGAGGAGTCAACAAATGAAGAAGTGAGAGCATGTTCAGGGTACACCATGTCAACGAGGCTGGTGTACACATGGAAGCACAGGGTGGAGCAAGGAGGATGGTTTCGACGAGCGAGACTCGTTGCAAGACAATTCAAAGCGAGTGTGGATGCCGAGCAGACATTTGCTCCAACATCGCTCATGATCATACCAAAGATGATGATCCACGTGCTTCTGAACGTGTGTGCAGGATTTGCGGCAATGACCCTGGACATCAAGGACGCATTCCTCATGGCTGACCAACCATCTGAAGAAAAGGCATTCATCAAGATTGACGACAAAGTGTTTCGACTTTTGAGGTGCCTTCCCGGACAGAGAACAGCTGCATCACAATGGTTTCAAATGTTCTCGCAAGCTTGCAAAGAGTTCAAGATGGAGCAAGAAGATGCAGCCCACATTGTTCCTGAGGCAAGGAAACATGTACCTAACGGTGCATGTGGATGATGTCTTCATGGTAGGAACGCCTCAGATCCTTCAGGAGTTCGTGATGTTCTTGAAGAATGTGAAGAATTGGAAGGTAGAGGCGAAGGGGCCGTTCACTGCAGGAGAGAAGTTCCTATATCTCAAGAGACAGTTCAAGACTACAGAAGATCACTGCGACATCAGATGTGATAGGAAGCAGTATTATGGACTTGAGAAGGAACTGGATTTGTTTTGCAGAGCATATCGCAAGACGCCCCTCGACCAGAACTTCACAAAGAAGGACGATTCCCCGCTCGTGGAGGCAGAGGAAGTGACGAAATTCAGGAGCATTGTTGGAAGATTGATGTATATGGCAAGCGAGCGACCAGATGCACAGTTCGGGATACAATGTTTGGCAAGGAAGATGTCTGCGCCAACGAAACAAGCCCTGAAGAACGCATGGCACCTATGCTCATACCTCCAAGGAACCATCGACTATGGTGTGAGGCTGTCAAGAAGGGAGAAAGGAAGGTCAGTGCTGGACACCAGAGAAGATGAAGAGATCAACAGCAGTCCTGCACATTTGGTGGAAGTGCCCACGGATGCAGACTATGCAGGGAACAGAGATGATAGAAAGAGCACTACATCGTTCCAGGTATACATTGATGGGAACCTCATCGAAAGCCGAGTCAGGACACAGAAGGCCATAGCATTGTCCTCAGGAGAAAGAGAATTCGTAGCTGTGGTGGCAGGATGCTCTGATGGAATGCTGATCAAGCATTTGCTCAACAAGATGACCGGAGGAAGCTGTATGATGAAAGTCAGAACAGACAGCTCGGCTGCCCGGTCTATGGTGCAGCGCCAGGGCATTGGGCGCGTAAGACACCTGGATGCGTCATTGCTGTGGGTTCAACAAAAGGAGAGTGAAAGAGCCTTCAGCATAGCAGCCGTCCCGTCAGAGTTGAACAGTGCTGACATCGGCACAAAGAGTTTGACAAGGAAGAGGTTGCTTGGCCTACTGTATATGATGAAGTTTGTGGACGCAGTGGGCGACAGAGTGGGCACTGAGGAGTACAGAGACCTCGAGTACCAGTACCAGATCAAGAAAGGGACTATGAAGATGATGAAGTCAAAAGACATCCGCATCGGCCTGCTACTACTGATGGCAAGCATGAATTCAGTGGCTGGAAGCCCAGTTGAGAAGGAGGAGAAAGCAGGCAGCGAGTATGGATGGTGGGCACTAGTCTTCTGTGCCTTGATTGGAGCCTTGAGCACACTGAAGTGGCTTCGGATCTTCATGATCGAGGGTCTTCATGGCATGCTGGGTCGGATGATCAAGTATGAGACTTCAGCAGGACAGGAGACCACAAGCCAGAAGTGCGATCAACAGACTCAAGCAAATGAGTGGATCGACTCCTACATCTGGCAACAGTACGAGGAGGAGAAAGAGGAAATGGAAGAAGAGATGCACAATATGCAAGCTGCATTGCTGGAAGCAGAAGAGATGATGGGTCATTTGCAAGAAGACCTAAAGGAGGTTCGACTTCAGCGAGACGACAACCTCGCCATGTTTCTGAAAAGTCAGCAGCAGCAGATCAAGATCGAGAAGAATATGTGCAATCTTCGAAAGGCGCCAAGTGGAAATGTCATCCACTTTGATGCTAGATGCATCCACTGGCAAAAGGCCAGAAGCGCAACTTTCTGTAGTGTGTGCCAAAACGAAGGGGCCGTGTTAGAATCTCACGAGATGTCAACAGGTACTCACTCAGGTCATTCGTGTTGACACATTTACGCCGTGAACACGAAGGCTCAATTTGCAGCTGAAAATAGTGTCTGCGCTACTTTGCATAACTTATAACGGTAAACTGTTTGGGGAGTCATTGAAGTTGCTTGCCTCTGCCATCCTTGAGAATTCTTCGTGGTCCTGTTACCGTACCTGCATCGCACTGCTCCGTTGTCAGCTCATGCATTTCCCTCTGTACCTGCCAAGTCAAGAACACAGCGACCTAGAACAATGCAATTTGATTTGTTCAAGTTCAAGCGATCAAGCCTGCAGGTGGCATTTGCAAGAGTCCAGATTTTGCCAAGATCGCTCCACCCAAAGACCGCACCACACCTGAGCAGGTGATCCTGAATGATCCGCTTGTTTGATGTGATTTGGTGACTGCTTGCGGACGTGTGATGGAAGAGCAACCGAACATAACCCAACTGATGAGTCTTAATTGATCTTACATGATTGCACATTATGGTAGGTCCTTTGCAGAAAGTCAAAAGGTGTCAAGCTTGGTCATGAATACCGGCACACCTCATCCTGGAACCTGATATGTGTGCAGGTGCTGTCTTACGCGGTCGAGAACTTGCAAGCATACCTGCCGTCCTTGGCTTCTCTCAAGAGCGAAAGCTATGAACACCTTGGCCCCATTGCACCTTGGCCAAGCGCATGGCATCAACTATGGTCTGCAGTTGGAACACCTGTGAGCCCTGTTTTTGCAGTTCAGGTTGATATTTTGAAGGAGTTCAACTTTGCACAATTTCTGCAGGGTGAGAATAACCCGCACTCAGTGTGGCTCCTGAAGAATGGCTTAACAAGTCAAGGTGGAAAGGTTTTGAAGAGCCTCGGATATCGATTACGTTCATTTATGACATGACATGTGACTTTTGCTAAGCGTGAAGACCTTCTGGTGACTCGTGGAGACATCAACCTCACAACTAACATATGCATATTTCAGATTCATTGGTGGCCTTAACAGAAGTCGGCGTTCTCAGTCTGACTCCTTGCAATCATGGTTCTAGCATTCAGGATGTGTTTGCTTTCTCAAGTTTGTATCCTTTGCGGAGCCACTTGGCAAATGTCAGGAAATAAGTGCAGTCACGAGTTCAAGACAAGTTCATCAAAGTAGACATTCCTTACCCATTTGTCAGTATTCGGCTGCTGAGTTGGAAGCAGCAAAAAGGCTCTTCTCAATCATCCCTCTGAGTGAGAGCAAGAATTCTACAGGTCATGGGAACCACCACTTTGAGGGGCTCACTCTTTTTGAATGAAGCCAACGGTCGCTGCTTGGTGAAAGCTCTCAACACCCTGCAGCATATTCACGTCACTTGGCGTTCTTCAGCATGCGGAGAATGGCTGAAAATTAAATTTTTCTTGGTATATTTATTTCATGAGGGTTTAATTACAAGATATCCATGGGCCTCCCCTTTTGAATCGAGTAGCCCAGGTCTCGCAGTCTCTTTCGGTTTCTTAACAGGGGTCTTGCTGGTGGGAAGGTGCACCTAGGGTGGTGTGGATTTGTAGAGCTTGTCAAGGAGGCATACAGTGTATGTGTTACGAGATTGTGCGGGATGCGTTGAGGGTGGGTGGGTTTTGAGTCTGATGGTTTCCTTATGTTTGATACTGGGCCGCTGCTGTGAGTGTGTAAATCGGGTGGGCCAGGCCATGAGCTTTCTGATTCTGGCTACAATGATTGGACCACTTGTGTTAGCCACCACTCGCAACTTATAAAACATGTATGCCCGCCGTGTGAAAATACTCACCTCTCAAAGGAATGCGAACAGTTGCCACTCAAAACTTGCAGTACAGATCCTCTTGGTTTCCCCCTGGAAGTTCCGAGAGATGACAGGCGGAAATAAATGTCGTCAGTTTTGTAGGCCCGTGGCTTGGAATGGCTTTATTAAGTACGACTAGTTTATAGCCCGAATGCAGAATCAAGAAAGGCTTGTGTTCAAAACCTATCTATGACTTGTTGGTGGGACCAGCTTGGGGCTTGGATTTTGAAGCATTTCGGGTGTCAATGTTTGATATATTAAAGGACCAGGGGCTATGGCTATGACTGAAATGATTTGTTGGTTATACCTAAGACACCTGGGTACGATGTAAAATTGTTGTGAAACTCAATAGTCCTTTTCTGGAAAAAACTGCTGCTTCATGGGTTTGCCTGTCACTTTGTACCTTCAGTAGTGCAACAAAAAAGTGTGCAAGCAAATTGCACCGTTTTGGCGCCGTTTTGCGCTGTTCGTTTCCTTGCCCCAAGAACCATGTTGTGTTTGAAACAACCTAAATAATACACACGAAGGAAGATGTAGGTATTGTATAGATATAGTATAGATTATGCAGATAGGTGACGGCCTGACTATGTAGAGCACATTCTCGGTAGAGGTCTCGCTTTTGCAACATCAGAAGTGCTATATATAGTATTTCAAAGGTAGACCACCATGTTTTTCCAGGTTTGACCATAGCAGTTTGCTTTTGGGGTGCCGTCCCAGTTTGCGCGACAGGAGTTGGATCCTCATGAAGTGTACTGGAAATACATCCAGAGTCGAGCGGAGGCAAAATGCTTCTGTATACGTACAACAGAGCCTTGAAACTGATGTCGAATTTTGTGATTTGCTCAACTAACTGGATCAAATTGAACTCATGTGTGCCCATGAGAGGCTTTGAACTTGCCAGTGCTGACACCTTCGCACATGGTCCAAGCACGATTGGCTTGCCTCACCCGTGCCCTAGCTGACACCGGGAGTGGTTCATGGTTGTGCTGTGCGAAATTGGTCCCGTTGGATGTGGCCATGTGGCAAGCCATTGAGTAGGTTGGACAAAGGTTTGATCCCCTCCTTCAAACGCGTCACCTCCCAGGATGCGTTGAGCAGCAGATGGCAGCAGACTTGCAAGATGATTGGCTGCAGTTGACCCAGAAAGAGAGAGACTCTTGGATGGATGATCAATGATGACGCAGTAATCGGGTAGGCACCCGGCAAAAAGTTTTGTCAAGCCATGCGATCCCTAGAGCCCGCATGCATGTTTGAGTGCACATTGTCAGTAACAAATCAAGCGCATAGGATAGCATCCCTACGACAACCCTAAACCGCAAAGCAGTGATAAATCTCAACCTGAAACGCTGCAGGATGTCCTGTTGGACATCTTCTTGTTGGACGGTCACGAACAGAAGACCTTCGTCTTTCTGTACCTACCATTGTTTTTGGCCAACGCCAAAGCCAATCACGATGTCGATCTCTTGGGTGGCTTGAAGCTCTTGGTGGAAATCTACGATAGGTGCATGGGGGCTGGGCAAGGGGTATCCACTCAAAGCAGGGACATTGCAAGACGCTGTTTGTCAAGCTATCGGTTCTTCATCCACTGCTTTCATGTTTTTCCATCCACCGCATCTCCATGATTTGTCCATTGCGCTTCAGCCTTTTGGCCATTGCCCTGAACGAGGAAAGCATCAGACTTGCTACATGTCAGGATCATGTTTCACTTCCACCAATGATTTGTCCAAAAAGCTGAGCTTTTGTGTCATGGGCAACCGCAAAGTTGCAAATTGACAGGTTGTTACAGCACCGCTGCTTGAGCCTCACTGGTCCAAGTGTTGTGGTGGATCTATCATCCTTGGCATTGGTGATGAAAGATGTCGAGGACATCCCCACCTTGCGTGCCTTTCCTGAAATGGTTGGATGGCATACAGGTTCCAAAAGAAAAGATTTGCCAGCGTGAGTTGCGTGTTGGATTCACAAGTTTGGAAAGAGGGCCCTCCTCGCAAACAAAATCTATCAGTATTGCAGGGTTAGAATCAGGCGCTGCAGCATTTCTAGAATCTAGAAATATCCCAACTCAGGTACATTCGTAGACGTGGTTCGCATCAGGTTGCTGTGCCTCCTTTCACTGGAATCAGTCTATGTTTAACGTTTCGTAGCTAAAAACGAAACCGGTTCGATTTTCTCCACCGCCATGTGGTGGCTTAAGCGAATGTCATCATTTGACAATCAGAGACATCCACCATCCCCCTTTTCTGTGCCTTGCGCGCACTTTTAATCACAGTTTTTTTGTTGCCAAACGGCCTGCCCCTCGCTCTCAGCTAGGCAGGAGGCTTTGGGAGGTTCATGCGTCGTGCTAATGGCCTTGGAGAGGCAAGCATTCGTGAGTCCTGAGAGGATTGACTCTATATGACCCCATTTTCTCTATCTATTTATTTGTGATCAATCTGCGGAGCGTATGGAAAACAAGACTGGATAGTAATATATATATATATATAGTTGGTTTATTTATTTTTTGGTTTGTTTATTTAAGTATATGTTTGCCCTTGTTTTGCAACTCAATTGAGGCTAGGCTGACCTTTTCTGCTGGTGCTGAGGAAAATGTTTCGACTTTGCCAAGTTGGTGAAGCAGCTTGATTTGTATGTCCTGCGTTCCCAACATATGGCACAAGAGCTTCAGTTTGACGGCTTTGAGGCATGAGAATGGTGTGACTGTTCTCCTGACCAGCAACAGCTACCAGGTCCTTTCAGGTGGGAAATGTGCACCTGTTTGTCCTGCCATTCGCTGGTTTCCTGCAAGGTCAGTTGGTTCATCACACTAGAAGCGCCGACATGCCGGGCACTCACCGCTGTGGACCTGTGGACTCACGTGACCTCCTGTTTTTTCGGTCCATCTCAGTCCTTGGTTCCCGTACTTTGCAGGTTGGAACAGCTAACTGTACAACAGAGCCTTGGAAGCACTTGAGAAGTCAGTGCAAAAGTGCCAAGTTTGTTTTGAATGAGGGAAGGCCGGCTTGCCTGAACAATAGTGGTTGTAGAGTCACTGAAGCTTTGGCACTAAGGTCGAAATTGGAGTTTGCCATTCGTTCCTTGCCATTGCCACGTGGACAACGGCCGTCAATTTCTCATTTCTCTTCGGTAACTCTCCTGCAATCGGTGATTGAAGCATTCACAGTTCCAGGAACTGATCGAAGAGTTTGTGGAGCATTTGTGGCTTTACAAAGTATGCGGCTAAGGAAAGCGAGCTCCAAGAGCCGCTACGTCTTCAAGCGAAGCCTTCCCCTTTGGAACTTTAGGGGTTCAATGACAAAAGTTTTCTGTGGGCATGCCAAAGGCAGCTCGGCTCGCACAATTTCAGTACAGCACGGCACGTGCAGTGCCTCTAGATTTTCAGCTTCGTAGAAGCTAGAGGCAAAGCTTTTGCCCTTGAGCCACAGGTGTTCAACCCTGTCGTATCAGGCGTGGCGCATAGAGCGCCGACGGATAATGGATCAAAGGGAAACGAGTTGCTGAGTTGCTTTGCCTTTTTTTCATTTAGTGCCCATCATGATGTTCTTTGGTGTTTTCCCTTGCTTGGGAATCTTTAGAAATCACAGGCTTCTGCAGTTTCAGGTGTGCACCTGTACAACCGGATCTGAATGCAGGGGGACGAAACTGAGACATGGCAGCTCAACTCTGATTTCTGAGGCCTTTCAATACATGTTGGACATTTTGTTAACCTCCTCACTGCGAGCAGTAGCTCCTGATCAGTTGCCACGTTACTGTTTTTCGTCAGCGTCGCAGTCGGTGAAACGCAGCTCCGGAAGAAAGGAACCCAAGAGAGAGCAGTTCAGTTCCACACGGCAGTGGGTAGTCGCGATCGGCAGGACATGGATTGAGTCATGAGTCATGAGTTGAACTGGATCCTTCACTGTTTACCCTGCTTCGTCGCGCTTCGCTTCCACTTCGGTGCGATGCATCAAGTTGAAACAGTGATGGCTCTTGAGTGAAGCAGCCAATGCATGCTAGTGCCATATACGGCAAGAAGCGTTTGGATCTTTTTTGTGCCGCCTTGCATCTACCTTACCCCTGATCTCCAGCGCGACCCAACGCATGTAGACGTGGAACCTCGCACCCATGGAGGCAGTTCAAGTATCTTCAAGGAACGGCGATAGTGGTCGATAGTCGTTCTGGAGCCATTGGTCGGGGGAATCACCAAGTTGCCCCAAGCTGGTTAAGTGATTTTGTTGCGCTTCAGCCTTTGCTATGTGGGTGGTTGGTTGACCAAATTAGAGAGGTTCTAGCACAGTGATGTACTCAGCACCGAACGGGCAACGGGTCTCGTTCAAAGCTCCGACAAAGCCCTTTTTTGTACATGTGTGATAGGCCAGCTGGCATATTTGTCGTTAGAAAGGCCATCACAGCTCTATATAGATCCTTGGAAGCTAGATATGCCACCTAGCTTTCAAACTACTCGAGGGTGTGCGTGACCAGCAGGAGTAATGTAAGTCGATGAAACATTATTGTTTATGTTTAAGATTTGGGCTTGAGAAAGCCGAACGGAGGTTTATCTAACTTGGTCCCAGCAGGCCTTTGGAGAACTGTAAGTGCAACGCCCAAGCCGCAGGACGGTCGAATCACAAGCGTGGGCTTGATGAGGTGCTGGAACGGCATTTTAGACATTTGTGATGAGGTTGACAACCCGGATCTGTCTTTCTTGTATTTTGTTTTCTGGAACTGAAAATGTCGGATTCTAATGATATAAATCAATTATATTCAATTTGTTTCCACCCATGCTTGTGTGGCTTTTAGGCCAAGCTGTGGGCACAAAGCCCAAAGCCAAGTTGTAATCCTGCCTGCCGACCGTGCTTTCTGTTTGACATGCGAAAGAAAAGATATGAAAGAAATCACACCGCTGGGTGACACGGCCACTGGTTCATATGCATTTGGTTTTTGCATAAAACAGCCACTGAATCGTATGATGTTTCATCCCTCGACCTGCGCAGTTGCCTTCGACTGAGGCTGAAGGCATGCATCACTGGCAGCCGGAGGAAGAGACGGTCGGATCTCGGCGATCGATCTGCGAACTCGGCGATCCGTTCGAATCTGGGCCGTTGCCCGACTTGACCCAAAAAAATAAGAAAATATACCCCTGGAAGAAGGAACATGTGCACTGAAGACCAAAACCGATTGGACCAGGGGGTAGCTATGAGTCATGGCAACTCCCCCACCCAGCCATGGGAGGTCGACATCCCGAAACTAAATGGATCTGTTCATTTGACCCGGGGTCAACCAGCGTGCCCGGGGTTTTGACTCACGGCCACATCTTCGGAAAAGCGCAACTTCAAAAGCGAGCGGAAGCAGGTGTTTTCACCGTTCATGCTGCCGGAGACCCTTCATTCTTTGCTTAGATGGGTCCAGGCATTGTTTTCAGCGACCAGTACTATAGTAGCATGAAAGCTCCTGTCAGAACCGAGTCGGTGCGGTCGCAGGACGTCATCGAGTTGGAGAATTACCGCCCGCGACCAAGTGGGTCGATTGATGGGGTCTTGATGGCGGGTGGGGGTGGGAGGCTTGTAAGAAGTTCATCAATTGAGTGCGAATTTCCGTATGTCAAATTCTACCCATCCAAAAAGCTTTGAGAGGAAGATGCTTGCAAAAACCTCGCACCGGTTTCGGAACCAACTGGACTCCGGACTGCTGGACTCAGCGGCCAGCGGTTATTGTGTTTTGAGTTTATGTTGGGTGCGTTTCGACAAGTAACATGGGAGGATAGTCACTGTTTGCATGTCGTATGTGTTGTGTTGTTGGGAGGTCCATTTTCATCCATTTTCCACTTCCATGTTACACTCCCTGGATGTGACCTGAACCCTGTGGTTTTGGCACCCTCAGTCCGACTGCTGTCCTCGAGCTGCACCAGTAGTTGTCAGGCTCCATGGGATCGTCTTCAGCGGGGTAGTGAGTCAGAGTTTAAACAGTATACAACTGTACTGCTTCTTTTGGGTGGGCTGCCCTTTGGCCATGACATTCCAGCGAGGCACTCCTGTAAGCGGAGCTGCTTAACATTTCATTTCAACGATCATTAGACCTTTTCCCGATCGCAAAAGCAACCTAGTAAAAAAAAATAAAAGTAGCGATGGCCTCCAACGTAAGAGCCATTAGACTCTAACACCTAATAGCAAAACGAACCTAATAGCCATGGCCTCCAACCTAGAGCGATGGCCTCCAACACTTAATAGCAAAAGGAACCTACTAGCGATGCCCTCCCACCTAAGAGCGATGGCCTCCAACCTCATAGCAAAGGGAACCTAGTAGCGATGGCCTCCAACCTAAGAGCGATGGCCTCCAACACCTAATAGCAAAACGAACCTAATAGCCATGGCCTCCAACTTAAGACCTCTAACCGAATAGCATAAAAACTTAAAAACTTATATAGTAGCGAGAGCCTCCGACCTAGGACCTAGGAGTGGTGGCTTCCAGCCTAAGTGCGATAGCACAAGCCCTTGCCTAGTTGTCGTGGAGGTGTCGCTGCTTCCAGATCAGACACCAGCGGAGCGGGCGTCCTCTCGGCCGGCGCGACCACCCAGAGCTTGACTCCTTGCGACGCTATCGTTGGTCGAAGCACGACAAGTGGACGACGAGCAGAGGACCTAAATTTTCCGAAGCCACGCGTTCCATGGCCATGTTTTCCGCACCAAAACATTGTAAAACTCAAGACGCTGGAAATCTGGAAATCGTTGCCCGATTCACGTCACTTCTTCAGCAAAGCAACCCCCCAGTCAGAGCTGTTTTCTTTAGGGGCGTCCGTTCCCTTGGCATGAATGGAAGAATGCCAAGAGAGGTTGAGAGGCCTTTTTCTGTAGGATCCTGGAAAAAGGTGGTGCATATGGGATGAGCTTTTTGGGGCTGTTCAAATTCTTTTGGTGCATGGTTTTCGAAACCAGAGACTTGGTAGATTCCACCTCGTCACCTCAAGAATGCCAGGGACCTGGCCACATTCTTCGCTTGAAGTCATCGGCTGAACCATATGGATCCAGAAGACCCTGTGAGAAGGTGATTGGACTCTCTGATGTAGTGGCCAGGAGGGTCCAGTTGTACCTCCTGAGGATGTATATATATAATTCATAATATGCCTCAGCATCATGGAAATTGGAACAGTTCGGCCCCTGAAAGACCATTTTGGCCAGACAGGTGAAGTTCACTTCTTGACCCCACAGAGTCTGTGGATGCCTCGTCTCCATTTCTCCTCAGGCCCGTGGCTCGCCACCCAATGTCGAGGCATCGATCAGGGCGGGGGCGGTTGGAGCCCTGCGCGGCCTGTTTTTGGGACTTCCTCAGTCAAAATATCACGCACTGTGGTAACCCCTAACTTGCCATGTCATGAAGGGTTCATGTACAGTTTCCGACGTTCGTACCGACCGTCGCCTTGGCTCAAGAAACGCGCGTTCGCTGCGCGTTTCAGGGTGCACGTCGCTCGCTCGTCGTTCGCTTGCATCCGCACTCGCTCGTTGCCTTTCGTGCATTCTGGTTTTCGTGTTGTGTGTTCTTTCGGGTTGCCGTACCGAGCTCCCTTTAGGCCACACCCCACAACTGGTACACCACGGGGACCAAGCCTTCCGGGGTCCCCCGTCGTGTACCCAACTTCCTCAGGGTTCTCCGCACAATAGGGTACCTTTCCTCCAACTTGCCTCTTAGGCAACTTTGGTGGTTGTTCCCTGTGGATATCCCTGAACCCTTGTCACTTTCATTGGTTATCAGCCGTAGGTCTAACCAACCTACGAGCTCTAATAGTCCGCCTCTAATAGACTCCATGTTCAGGGTCACACCTCCTAGGTCCCCCCGTGCAGAGCCAGCGCAAGCCGCTGCCTCCTGGCGAGGATTCGCTAGGACCAAGTGTTGATCCCGATCCTAACCAAAGGTCCGAGGCAGCGCAAGCCGCTGCTGTAAGCGCGGACTCGTTAGGAGTAGGTGTACAAGAGTCTGAAGTAGAGGTGACGTCTTTGACCGAGGTTCTCAGGGCGCTGATGCCTTGAACCTGTACATAGACGCCCAAGATCCCCCAGCCGCTGCCGCAGGCGCGGGTTCGGATAGCTCCAAGTGGGCCGCCGCCGCGTCGGAAGCCGACTCCGGCCCTACATTGTTCCCGATGTCCACCTTTGAGGTCGAAGACAGGGAGCTCGAGCTAGAGGAACCCTTTGCGGGCCCAGCCAACCTGGAGGATCAGGACATTACAGGCGAGGACGCCGCTGCTCCAAGCGCGGCGTCCATAGACCCTGATATAGAGACCAACGCCGACGCCGCTGCCACAGCCCAAGGTCAGCCGACCCCTGTGGTTCAGCCTTCGGCAACTAATACCCACACTACCGACTCCACCGACCAAGGCCCGCCGGCCCCGGTGGAGGAGGTTTCGACTAGTATGAACTCCCTCAACCCTGTAGATCAAGATCAGCCGATCCCTACAGAGGAAGAGCAAGAAGAGTTCGTGCCACCGGAACGCTTGATCGCGCAAGCCTCATCAACCCCACATAGTCCGCCTATCCCCACTAATAATCTCTTCGACCCTCTCGGCGACGACGACGAATCCACCGTTGAAGATACCGACAACGAGTCGATCGCTCGCCGCATCCAGGAGCAGTACGACCTTGAGGCCGCCTTCGAGGCATCTGCCGCTGAGGCTGGCGTCGAGCCGGAGCCTGCCAACGTTGAGGTCGGGGGAGCACAACCGGAAGAGGGAGTTGGTGAAGCCGCTGCTTCTGCTTCAAGCGCGGGGCAAGTGGAGAGGGATCGAACTCGAAGGCGAGGTTGCCGAGCCGGTGCCAAGCATTTGCCTGGGCGTGAGAACCTTGCATATGGCACTACATGTGAGTACATTCGAGCACAGCTTGGAGACTCCACATATGCCCGGTTCGGTCGTCGTTTCAACCTCCCTCTCATTTCGCCCCATGTTGCCAGAAAGCAGTACCCGGAGTGGTTTGCATATGTTTTGCGCCATTCGGATCGTTGGGCTTTTGACACCGAAGGGGAATTGCTACCCGTGGATACTATCTTGCGATGGGCCACCATCCTGCCGGAACTGTGGCAATTTCTATATTCGATCAACCCAACGCTGCTGCAGGGCACCCCACAGCCCCAGTACCGACTGCCAAAACGCTTCGACGCGTTCGATCAGCCGAGACAAGGGTTGCACCACCTCGTACTGTGTTCAACTCAGATTCGAAGGCAACGTCGTCCACAGCACCGCCTCGCGTCGACCGTTCTCGTTCGGCCGCACCTAAGGTCGCCACTGCATCAACAGCAGCGGCCAGTGCTGCGACGGCCGGGTCAACCTGGCGCCCTTCGCTAGACCGTGGTCAGTCTGCAGCTGTCCTAACACCTAGATCAAGGCCGGAAAGCCCAAGTCTCAGGCAGCCGGACCGAAGCCTAAGTCTCCCAAGTCAAAGCAAGCCGCAGCCTCTGGCGCGGGCACTTCGTCGAAGTCTGCCACTAAGCCCATTCCCCATAGTCCGTGTTGTTTCACGCTAGTGTGTACAATACGTGTCTTACTTGCCCTATGTTTGGCTCAAGGAAAACAGGTGCGGTTTGTTGACTCGTGTCGGCCGTTCGCCTGTAACTACAGGTTATCAGCCGTATCGCCATAAGTGCGGTACGTGCTTGGTACTAGCTTTGGTCTCACCCCACCGTAGGTAGTGCTCTACCTAGAGGCCATGGCTGATGATGATGGTTTTCGTGGTGACCGTTCCCATTCGGGCTATGTTCCTACATCCCCTGCAATGTCTAGTTCACCTGCACTCGAACTCCCTGTCGTTCCGCTGGACCTTCGTGGGCCAATTGAGCCTCCGTCGTTCAGTGCCCAGGGGGACCTGGTGCCTACTGTCCAAACACCATCGCCTTTCCAACCTGAGTTTTCACCTGTGTTGAATGTTCAGAACGTTGATGCTAGGCAGATTCATCAACAAGCGCTTTTCGTCAACGAGGATCGATCGGCTCAGGTAGCTCAGATTGCAGAACTAAGGCATCAGGCCATTTTGGCCAAGCACGGGCAGCAGGTTGCAGATGAAGCTAGGCAGTTCAGGGATGCTGTAGCTAACCAAGCCAGGGTGGCCATCGAGGAGTCTAGGGAACAACATGAGGCTATTGCCAACCAACGATTAAGTGACATGAATCAAGCCCATCAGACCCAACAACTTCATGAACAAAGGGCTTATTTAGATCGGATTTCGCTCGAAAGACATGCCGTCATTGAGAGTGAACGCGCATCAGCTAGGCAAAGAGAGGATGCCCTCCGGTCAGAACTTGCCGAGCAGAGTCGGATCATCAAAGAGCTAAGAGAAAGGTTCGAGGTTCGACAACGCCTCGGGGAACCGAGTGCCTGTGCCGTCAGTACAGCCACTTGGATCTCAAGGGTCCCCAGCTTTGCCTCCTGCGAGTCTCCGTACTCACTTGGAGAAGCCCGGGAACGCAGAAAGACAGGGATCGTGAGGACAAGGCCAAGGAGGCCGACAAGGTTCTCATTCCCAAGTTTCCCACACCTGAGAAGTACAGAGATTGGAAGATCAGGGTGAGGGACAATATTGCAGCCGCTTCAGCCAAGCCAGATGATGCAAGAACTTGGGTTGGGAAAGTATACAATGAATCCCAAACCATTGACGCACTCGATGATTCAGAAGGCTTTGCAACCCTCGACGCGAAGCTTCTTGCAAGCCACACGAACTGCGCTGAGGGGGACCTCGGTCGTCAAATCGCAACCTTCAAGGAGCTGCGTGCCCGCGAAGAGAAGCCCGTGAAAGGAAGACATTTGCTCCTCCACTTTCACGAGTACTTCGCCACAAGCATCCGGCACGGCGCCATTTACGGCCTCGAAGACCTCATGTCGGTCAAAATGGTGAATGATGATCTGAAAGGATTCATCAACAAATGGGACAGCGTGTTAGCGGGCATGAAGAAGGAGCCCGAGAACAATGTCCTGGAGGCGTACTTTCACCTAGCGGTGAAGCGCTTCAAGCCTCTCGAACATGATCTTGCCCTATATGACCGCGCTGCGGAAGGCAGCAAAGAGAGATCCTATGATTTTCTCATCACAGCGGCCCGGGCATATCTCGAGAGAAAGAGGCTGGAAAAGATGAGAGATGCTACCAAACGCTCTCTCGGCGCCAAAGATGTTGTACCAGCTCCAGAGGATAAGAAAGGCGTGCGCTTTGATTACCAGAAGACTGGAAAATGCAAGCGCGGATCTTCATGTCCCTACAAGCACGAAAAGGGCCGCGAGAAAAGCAAAGGAAAGGGAAAGGGTAAGGATCGCAGCCAATCTCGATCAAGGTCGCTGACTCCAGGATCTCGCAAAGAGACTTGCAAATTCTGGAAAGCAGGGCATTGTCATCGAGGAAAAGATTGTGCGTTCCAACACCCTGAAAAGACTGTCCCGGCAAAGAAAGAGGACAGAAAGAAGAAGAAGAAGAAAGAGAAGAAACCTCGCAAGCGAAGCAGTTCGCGAGGATCATCAGGCTCCGACAACTCAACTGGCTCTGAGAGCCAGCGGAGAAAAGGTGGGAAGTCTTCTTCTTCCAATGTACCGGCAGCGGTCTGCCTCCTTCGAGCTGTGGTCATGGCCGCAGTGGTCTCTCAGGGATCCTCCGTCCTCATCACACGCCCGCTGGGAAGCGTGGCCATGCCAGTCCTTTCCGCATCAAACACTATGTGCACCGATTTTGACAACACAGAAAACATTGACAGTTTTGTTAGACAGCAAGTCCGTCATGACGATCAGCCAAATGTTTTTAGTCATGCTGTTGAATCTTCTTCCAGTTGGAGATCTGTTCAACCCCGAAGTAAGAAGAAAAGGAAGACTTTTACACCAGGTCGACCGGAACATGTTGAAGCCGTTCGTGTCGCAACTGAAGACGCATCCATTGCAGCCTCACACCTACAGAACGCTGTTAGGAACGAGCTCTTGTCCTTGCCGGCAGAGTGTTCGTATCTATGCAACTCTGACATAGGTTGCGTGAAGTGTTTTGGGAAGAGGTCATGTCCCTCAGTGCCTGCGACTGAGATTGCGTGGATTGCTGATACTGGTAGTGCTCACGATCTTGTGTCCAGGCACATGCTTCATTCAGATGAGGTGTCACAGTCATTGAAGCCGGTCAGTCTTCTTACCGCCAACGGAGTCTTTCAAGCCACTGACCAAGCAAGAGTCAATGTTCCCATCTTGGGTGATGACATAAACCCATACGTCCTAGATGAGAGTCCAGAGTAGGCCATACTTCAAGAAACCAGACGGTACT